TGCTGCTGCTGCTGCTGCTGCTGCCGCTACTGCTGCTGCTGCTGCTTCAGGACACGAGCCGTTTCGGGCTGACGCGCCGCACGGGGGGCACTACGCTGTCTGCTTCGTGTGGGGCCGGAGCAGCATTTAAAGATTTTGCTGCTGGTGCAGCAAATGGTGTTTTCTTTTTGGCATCTGCGATGTCGAGGGACTTTGACTCGGTCTCGGCCCAGATCCCCGCGCTGTCGCCTGCTGCTGCTGCTGCTGCTGCGGGAGCAGCAGCAGCAACTGCAGCAGCTGCCCGCTCAATGACCCCCCAAAACAGCTCGCCTGCTTCGCGCATGCACCTGCGGGACGCAACGCCGCAGGCGCCATACGCCGCGAGCGAAGCAGCAGCAGCACCCTGGCCGCTCGATTCTGCTGCTGCTGCTGCTGCTGCTGCTGCAGAAGGGCAGGACACCTCCCGTGTGCCGGCTGAGAGCACTAGGTCTGCTGCGGGAGACGCCGGTGGCAGCCCTGCTGCTGCTATCAGCTCGAGGGAGTTCTCTGGCCAGACCCTGGAGCAGCTGCAACAGCAGCAGCAGCAGCAGCAGCGCGTTGGGGTGTACATACACCCGAGGGACTATGCGGTGGCGCAGGCAGCAACGCGACACAACCGCAACAGACTTCAGCAGCAAATCGATGCAGCAGGACGCGGCTTGACGCGGCGGTGCTTCACGCAGCCCATAGCGCAGCAGCAGAAGCAGCAGCAGCAGCAGCAGCAGCCCGAGGGACAGGCCGAAGGGCAGCAGGAAACTGCGAAAGAAGAAGAGGCGCAGCAGCCCCACCGCAGCAGCACAACAGCAGACGCCATTCCTTACGGGGTGCTGCTGCCGGCTCCTGTGTACAGCCGTAGGGGCAGCAACGACAGCAGCAGCAGCAACAGCAGCAGCAGCAGCAGCAGCCGGCGCGAAAATGGCGCCGCATCCACCCCGCAAGTGCTGTGTTTGAGCAGGCCTGCCGCAGCAAGCACCCCGGCGGACGGTGCTGTTGCTGCTGCTGCTGCTGCTGCTGCTGCTGCCAGCGTAGCTGCTGCTGCAGCAGCACCGCCGCGACTAAACCACTACAAAGAGGCCTTTTTGCTCGCAGAGAAAAAAGACAAAAAGAAACAAAAAGAAAAGAATGTGCTGCCGGGGGGCCCCAATGGGGGCTACGCCCTGCTGCCGGACGTGCCCTAAGCAGCAGCAACAGCGGCAGCAGCAGCAGCAGCAGCAGCGTGCAACGCAGCGCAGCATAGCCACACAGACTCCATGGCACTGCTGCAACAGCAGCACTCAAATGCAGACTGCCAGTTTGCTGCTGCTGTCTCGATTTCCTTTCTTTTTCTTCTCCGACCGACTTGTCTCTAATAACGCAACGTGAGAGGCCTCGCTGCGGCTCCCCTTGCTGCCTTGTAACTGCTGCTGTTGCTGCTGCTGCTGTTGCTGCTGCAGCAGCGGATGCAGCAGAGGTGTAGCTCTACTGCGCGCCCGTAGCCAAACTGGAGCCATCAGCAGCGGGCATGACACGCATCCGCACTTACCAACTAACAGAACACAGTGGCGGGGCTGCATGAAGCGCGCATGCATGCATGCATGCATGCACGCATGCATGCAGACTGCTACTGCTGCAGCGGAATGCCAAAAGTGTGCACAGAGGGAAGAGGCAGCCTAGAACCTGTTGCTTGGGATTTTGCTGCCGTTGCTGCTGCTGCTGCTGCCCTGCACGCAGCTAGCAGCATTTACTGCAGCAACGCCTTTGCGGTTCTAGCATGTGGGGTCGCCCTTGGACATTAGAGAAGAAAATACATAAAGTGAACTAAATAAAGAAATGAACAAAGAATGATTTGGAGCTTCTTAATTGAGTTTATTTCATCAAAAGAGACAGAAAAGGAAAAAATAAAAAGAGAATTTTCTTCAGCAGCGCTGCAGCCAATATCCCGCCGCTGAGGTGCATGTACACCTTTCGTGCTGCATTGGATATTTTGCTGCTGCAGTCTCTCTTTTTAATTTCTTTTAATTTCTTTTAACTATCTTTTAATCTTATTCAATAAAATATTTAAAAAGGACAACTGGATGGGAAGCACTTTGCGAGAAATCTAATTTTGAAAAAATGTTGCATTTTTGTTCAAGTCGAAACTTGGCAGCAAAATGTCCACATTTCATGGCATTAAAGCATTTAAAAGCCTGTGCTGCTGCTGCAGCAAAATGTCTCCATGAAAAAGATTTTTCTTTTTTGCATTTTGAAGTGCAAAAGAGAAAACGTCTGGAGACAGTCGAGCAGTACTTCGCAGGCGCCGTGGTGTACGTACACCTCAGCAGCACAGCCGCGAGATCAGTCAAAGACGAAAAGAAATTTTCGGGAAAGTCTTCAGCATTTTGAAAGCCTTTTTGTCCAAAAAGCTCATCACTTTTCTTTAAAAGTTGGTTTTAATCGTTTAAATCGACTTTTACTCCTAACTTTCAATTGTTTTCGTCCCGAAAAGAAACAAAAATGAGCTTGAAGCAAAGTCTGAGGTGTACGTACACCTCAGCTGCGGGGATTTGAAGCAGCAGCTTTTTCAGTCTGTTCAAATTCAAAATATTTTTTCTCAAAAAGGTGAAGTGCCCTCTTACTGAGTGTAGCACAGAGCCTGGAATATGGCTTAGGGTTTAGGGTTTAGGGTTTAGGGTTTGGCGTGGAAGTTTTCAAGCGAGACAGGCCCCGAGTGCCACTTCACGAACTAAGCTGCAGCTAGCCACAGCTAGCTGCAGCTAGCCACAGCCAGCGGCAGCTAGCCACAGCTAGCCGCAGCCAGCCATAGCTAGCAGTAAATAGCCACAGCTAGCCACAGCTAGCCACAGCTAGCCAGATTCGGCCTGCCTCGAAGGAGCAGCAGCTACCAAGTTCCCAAGCAGCAAGCCCTAAGCAAAGCCCCAAGCCCCAGGCCTCCCTAAGACTGTTAACTAAGGAAGACAGCTGCATGCAGGGGCTTTGCTGCCCCCCGGGCAGCCCTAGGCGCTGCGCTGCGCCCTGTGCTGTGCATGCGCATGCAGGCTCGCTGCAGCGCAGCAGGAGCTGCTGCTTTGGGGCTTTTGTGGTTGAAGTGTGCAGCAGAGTTGCTGCTACTGGCAGCGGGCGGTGTACGTACGGCCCAAACCGCCTGCTGCTGCCTCTAAACAACTCCACTAATCCTTTTTAAATTCAAATTAATGCAAAAAACGCTGGGGGAAGTCCGCAGCAGCACCGGCTGCGTCAGGGCGTTTCCCGCGCTGCTGCAGGCGGTTGCTGAGCTGCTGCTGCTGCTGTTGCTGCTGTTGCTGCTGCTGCCGCGCGTCTGAAGCTGCCGATTGAGCAGTTATTGAAGTGTTAAAGGTAAATAGTATTTATTCAATGAATGTAAATTAAACAACTAGTAAAGAACTGCAGCCGTGGAGCCTTTCCTGGCCCACTGACCATGCAGGCGCGCTCCGGTGTCTTGCCACCGCGCGGCGCTGAGGTGTACAGACACCTCACGAAAGTTAATATCCATTTCGCTTGCATTCATTTGAAGTTTTAGGGGAAACTGAGCAGCAAAAACCCGCCAAGGAGGTGGCATAGTGGAAGCAGCAGCAGCAGCAGCAGCAGCGGTCCCATCAGTGCAGCAGCAGCTGCAACAGCAGCTGCTGCTGCTGCTTTCAGAATAGATGGCGCTCTAGCAAGGCTGCGGGGAGTGAAACGAAAGCACTTGAGAGTTTAAAGGAAATATTTGCCAGAATAGTGGCAATAACGCTAATAGAAAAAGGCGTTGTTAAGGGTTTGTTCGTTACACCTGTTGAACGGTTTCCCTGCTGCTGCTGCTGCTGCTGCAGCGCAGCAGCAATCCCTGCCGAGGATTTGACGATCCCACGGGGAAAGGTCATCAAAGCCTTTTGAAAACTTTATTGGTTTTGTTTGGAGCGTTTTTGCTGCTGCTGCTTCTGCTCCTGCTGCAGCAGCAGCAGCCACGCGCTGCACAGACAACCCGGATACGTTTTAGCTGAGTCTGCTGCTGCTTCTCCCGGCTTGCTGCAGCAGCAGCAGCAGCAGCAACGCAGCCGATATCCATCGAATACAGCGCCAGCGGCTCCGTTGCTGCAGCGTCTGCGCAGCCTTTACTCGCGAGGTTTCCCGTTGCTGCTGCAGTTTCTGCTGCAGCTGCAGCAGCAGCGACTGCTGCTTCTGCTGGTCTTGCTGCAGCAGCTACTTGTACTGTACCCTCGCGACCGCCAAGAGGTATAGCGAAGCATAACGGCGGCAGCCGCTGCTGCAGCAGGTGCAGCAGCTGCAGCAGCTGCTGCTGCCGCTGCTGCAGTCTCGCGACACCTCGCAGCAGCAGCAGCAGCAGCAGCACAAATGATAAACGGTCGATCAAGTCCGCAGGAAGGGGACCTGGGATCGTCGTCTCCCGCACAGGTGCTGAAGGTCCCCTTTCCCTCGCCCGCTTACCGCAGCAGCAGCAGCAGCAGCAGCAGCAGCAGCAGCGGCTCTCCTGCTGCTGCGGGTGGGCTGAGCAGCACGAACAGCTGCAGCACGAGGTCTGACGAATCTGCCGTGTGTCTGTCTCCAACAGCCCCCCCGCAGGACAGCAGCAGCCGCAGCAGCAACAGCAGCAGCAGCAGCAGCAGCTATTTTTCTTCGCTGGACCACCCTAGGCCGGTGTACTCGATCAGCGTCAGCAGCGTCAGCAGCAGCAGCAGCATCAGCAGCAGCAGCATCGGCAGCAGCAGCAGCAAACGCTGGGCTGGCTGCCGCAGGCCTCTCGACGTTGTTGTTCCGCGGTGTATTTACTTCACAGAAGACCCTGTTACAGGTCAGCAGCCGCTGCAGCAGCAGCAGCAGCAGCAGCAGAAGAGCGGCGGCGGTTGGGGGGCAGCAGATGGCGTCTCTGGCGCAGCAGCAGGAGCGTCTGGAGGCGCATCTCCCCTGAGCCTCCTGCAGTCGTACTGGGGAAAGCAGCAGCAGCAGCAGCAGCAGCAGCAGCAGCTGCAGGTGCTGCCGGCGCAGCAGCAGGGGGCCGCCCGCGGGGCGTCTCCCGCCCCCTGCGCGCCCGGGCCGCCGGGCGCGCCGGCGGGAGCAGCAGCAGCAGCGGGAGGGGGCGGAGCAGCAGCAGCAGCGGGAGGGGGCGGAGCAGCAGCAGCAGCAGCAGCAGCAGCAGCAGAGTCCGGCAGCAGACTGTCGTTTTTGCTGACGTCCGTCGGCGCTGCAGTGGGGATCGGCTGCGTGTGGAGGTTCCCCACTTACTGCTACAAGTGGGGCGGGGGCTCCTTCGTGGTTTGTTATTTGCTGCTGCTGCTGCTGCTGGGGGTGCCGCTGCTGGCGATGGAGACAGCCTTTGGCCAGGTTTTTCGCGGCAGCAACTTGCGAGTGATGTCTCTGTTGTCTCCTTCTCTGCGGGGCCTTGCTGCTGCCACTTTGCTGCTGTCTTTCTGCATTTGTTCTTATTATTCTGTCTTTCTGGCTTGGGGCTGCAGCTACGCCGTTGCTGCTGCTGCTCCGCTGCTGCCCTGGGGTGTCTCCGCGGCTGAGCAGCAAATCTGTGGGGTCCCTTCGCTGCAGCAGCAGGCGGCCTGCGAGGCGGCGCGCGCGGGGGGTCTCTTCTGCAGGTGGCGGCCTGCTGCTGCTGCTGCTGCTGCAGCGCGGGGCGCTGCTGCTGCTGCTGCAGCGGCGGGCAGCTGCGTCGCGGACCCCGAGGCGAAGGCCGCAGCCTTCTTCTCGCGGGCCGTGCTGCAGCAGCAGCCGGCGCCGGCAGCAGCAGCAGCAGCAGCGGCGGCGGGGGTCCCGGAGGAGGCGGCGGCGGCTGCTGCTGCTGCGCTGGGGAGCAGCAGCAGCAGCAGCTGGCTGCTGCTGTGGCCGCCCGCAGCAAGTTTGCTGCTGGTGTGGCTGCTGGTGTACCTGAGTCTGTACAAAGGGCTGCGGGGAGTGCGGTGTCTTTGCTGCCTCTCCGTGCTGCTGCCGTCCTGCTGCGTGCTGCTGCTGCTGCTGCGTGCTGCTGCGCTGCCCGGCGCCTGGGAAGGCGTGCAGCAGCTTTTCGCTGTTGACTTCCCGCTGCTGCTCTCAGCCCCAGAAATCTGGCCAGAAGCTGCCAGCCAAGTTCTCTTTTCTTTGGGACTTTTCCAGGGAGCCATGAGTTCTTTTGCTGCTCACAAACCCCCCAACAACAACCCCACCCTCGACGCCCTTGCTGTTGCTGCTGCCAACGCGCTGCTCTCGCTGCTGTCAGCAGCAGCAGCATTTGCCGTTGCCGGCCACACCCTCCACCTTCAGGGGGGCGCGGGGGCCCCAGGGGGCCCCCTGGAGGGCCCCCTGGGGGCCC